CTACGTGTTGGGGGTCTGTGACCTGGTAAAGAGAAAAGAAGAGGGTGAGTGGGCAGAGGAAGCTGCCCCCTGTGCCCTCTGGAAAGCTCCTGCATCGTTGACAAAGCCAACCGAACACCGTCTCTGCCCCCAAGCGGGTATACTTGCACGGACCCTGTTCTGTTTCTGCCTTTAAGGCCTTCCAGCCAATTCTTTCTTAGGCCGAGAATTCTTGCCAGCCGTGACCTCAAGGCCTGATGTCACCACAATTGTGGCATCATGGCCTAGGCGCAGCCAAGCATGGAGTTGCCGGGGGGGAGCCTTGGGGCAGCTGATTTCAGGAACGGAGCGCCCATCTTTGGTGTAACGTTTCGCAGGTGTGATGTATGAAGCCAACGAGGAGACAAGACAGGACGCTGGGTCTAGTTTTGAGTCTCTACTCAAACCACACAGCTCAAGAGAAGATTCTTGGATGCTCCTTGCAGAACATAGAAATCATAGGGTTGGAAGGGGGGCTTTGGAGGTCTTCTAGACCAACCCCGTTTCAATGGTAGAAGACCCTCTACCGTTCCAGGCAAATGGCAGTCCGGTCTCTTCTTGACAACCTCCAGGGATGGAACACCCTCAGTTTGATCATTCTAGCTGAAATGAAATCCCTCCTTAAACCGAATTTCTCCTTGGTGAGTTTCCATCTGTCGCTTCTTGACTTGCCTTCCGGTGCTTTTGGGAAATAATTTGACTCCCCTCTTCTTTGGGGCACCCTTTCAAATCCTGGAATTCTGCTATCATACCACGCCAAGTCAGGGGTGGGATTCAAATATTTTTACTACCGGTTCTGTGGGCGTGGCTTGGTGGGCGGGGCAGGGGAAGGAGACTGTCAAATCCCCATTCTCTTCCCACCCCACTAACCTGCTTTCCAGCCCTGTTCTCCTATGCAGGGCAACCAAAGGAGACCCAGCCGATGAGCAAGGACTCAATGGGAGGCGGAGAATATATCGGGGAGAGGCCAGTCAGAGGTGGGATTCCAAACTACTCCAAATTTCCGCTACTGGTTCTCCAGAATTGGTCAGAACTTGCTGAAGACCACCTCTGCTCCAAGTCCTTCTTTTCATTAAACTAAACACACCCAATTCCACCAACCATTTTAGGTCGCTTCTCTGGTCGCTTCTCTCCTTGAGGAGTTTCCATCCGTCACTTCTTGTCCTGCCTTCAGGGGCTTTGGACAATAGCTTGACCCCCTCCTCCTCCTCCTCTTCTCTATGAACAGCGCCTCAAATATTGGAAGCCTGCTATTATGCCCCCGTTCTCTTTCTCTTTCTTCCTGGGCCTGAACGTAGCCAGTTCCATTAACCTTTCCTTGCACGATTTATCCTGAAGATCCCTTCTCTTCTCTGCATTCCTTCCAAGGTCTCAACATCTTCTTCTTCTTCTTTTTTTTCTATTGTGGTGACCAGAACTGGACGCGGGATTCAGATGTGTGGCTTCACTAGCACAGAAGAGCGTGGCTGTATCGGTATATCACTTTACATGGTAATCTCCTTTTGAAGGCTGTTGCAGGGAGGAAAATGAGAGGATCTAAA